AATAATAATTTAACGTTATTTATCTGAGGAGCAGCTTTGAGTTTAACTCCATCACAGAACTCTCATCTTGAGCGAGCATGAAGGCGACAGTGGAAAGGAAAAACTCCCTCATGAGGAGGAAACCTTTAGCAGAACCAGGCTCAGGACAAGAGGACCATCTGCTTCGACCGGCTGGGTTTGGTAGGAACAGATACACAATGGCAGGTCAAGAATCACGTGTTAAGATAGAAATAGTATCAAATGGAAACTATTCAGTTTTAACAATTCATTTAAGGAAATGAGGTCAATGTGTCCTCTAGTAGTCTAAGTCTATAGCAGCATGACAAGCCAACCCTAACTATAGGATTTATCAAAAAGGAAAGTCTTAATCCCAGTCTTAAAACTGGACAATGTGTCAGCCTCATGGACAGAAACTGGAAGTTGGTTCCACAAGAGAGGAGCCTGAGAACTGGAAGATCTTCCTCCCATTCTGCTTCTGGAAACTAGGAACCGCGAGTAAACCTGCAGTCTGAGCGCGAAGTGCTCTGTTAGGAAAATATGGAACAATAAGATCTGTAATATAAGATGGAGCTAGGTTGTTGAGAGCTTTGTAGGTTAGAAGTAGAATTTTGAATTAAATTCTGGATTTGACAGGGAGCCAGTGGAGAGAAGCTAAAACTGGAGAGATATGATCTCTCCCAGTAACTCCAGTTAAGACTCTGGCAGCAGCATTTTGGAACAACTGAAGACTTTTTAAAGAAGTATTTGGACACCCAGATAAACAATTGCTATAGTTCAGTCTTGAATAAGTGTAAATGCATTTAAAAAAACTGCTTAAATTAGCTAAATGATTCATAAGAATTAACAAGAAGAAGCTAAAAGTAAAAGAAACAAGATGAATTTAGCTAAAATAATCTGAAAGGAGTGCAAAAAGTTCAAATTAGCAGAAGAAAGCCAGAATAAACACACAAAAAAAAAAATTTTTTTTTTAATCCCAAAACCTCTGAAATTAGCAGAAAAATAGCTGGAAAAACACAAAAAACTGAAGTTAGCAGGAGGAAGCTGAAATGAGATTTAAAAACAAAAGAGACTAAATTAATTACAAAGTATCAGAAAGAAAATTGAAAAAGCTGTTTATGAAAGACGTGGACCTGCAGTCTCTGACAGAGGTGTCTGAGCAGAGGATGCTGAGGAAACTGCTCCAGGTCTTGAACAACACGTCACCCCCTGCATGACACCCTGGACTCTTACCGCAGCACCTTCAGTCGTAGACTGAGACCACCGAGGTGCTCCACAGGACAAACTTTTCAACCCCTCCCCCTTTCTGCACAATAAAATTAACCCTGCACCACAATAAACACTTGAATGTTTCGGTCTGCACCTGCTTTAGACCTTAATTGTTGTTATTCTCTCTTATCTTGTGCAATTCCTTGTGTATGTTCCTTTGCACTGAAACTCTGGCACAACAATCTCCTGTGGGATCAGTAAAGCTCTATCTTATCTTATCTTTAGTAGACTAAACTCTTCAGTCCAGGTCATTCAGTATGTTAGTGTTTTGCTTCAGTGCATCACTTTAGTCCAACTCCAAACTGTTCAGTCTGATGATGCATCATTTAAATATTTAAATGTTTTTGTCTTGGCAGAAAAGGAGACGGAGTTAATTGGCGATCCTGTTGAAAGTGCCATCTGGTACTTTAACAACACTGGCCTGGTAAGGCTCTCCTCTTCTCCGACTCCGTCGAGGAAAACTCTTTAAGCTGTAAACAGGATGATGGCGCCGTTTGCTGCTTCCTCTATACGTTGAACACGAAGGTGTCGTCTGTGATGACTCCACTCCTTTAGTGAAAGTATTGTTTAACCTGAAGGGCTTTATTCTGCCAACTCCTGGAAATCTTTCACCAACGCAAGCAGCCTTCCTGGAAAGAGCTCATGAATCTTTTACCAGGATGTTTGTGTTTAATTGTAACGTCACTGGACGAGGACAACGATAAGATAAGCAGCTAATTGTATGTGGCTGCGCCTCTTCGTGTCGTCTGCTTTTTGAGTTTTGTCCTAAAACGCTGAAGCATCGAGCCGTTCCCCCTCCTTTAATAACGTCTGTGCTGGGTGTTTGTTCGTGCGCAGCCTCTTAATGCCACGTGGTCGTCGCTCACCAAGTCCGAGTGCTTACAGTACAAAGGAGAGCTGGTTGGAGAGGCCTGCCATCACGTCCCAGACATCACTCTCATGTCCTTCATCCTCTTCTTCGGTACCTACACCACCTCCATGTGTCTTAAGAAGTTCAAAACCAGTCCGTTTTTCCCCACCACTGTGAGTATCTCCATCGTTCAGACATCCAAACACGAAACAAGCCGACCCCACGGAGAATAAACCCCACAACTACTCCTCTCCCTCAGGTGAGGAAACTCATCAGCGACTTCGCCATCATCCTAGCTATCCTCATATTTTGTGGAGTTGATGTTTTCATTGGAGTTGACACGCCTAAACTTATCGTGCCAAGTGAGTTTAAAGTAAGTCCCCCCCCACTTTTCTCTTCAATAATTCAAGTAGATTCACAACATTTGTTTTAGAATCTATAGATTTATGTTTTTACGACTCACATAAAAACCTAAAAGACAAAAAGACCAAGTTTAGTACAAATACTGTAGATGACTGTATTTTACATTGTCTTGTCTTCTTCTCTTCCTCAAAGCCAACGAGCCCCCACCGAGGCTGGTTCGTGCCCCCGTTTGGAGGAAACCCCTGGTGGGTCTACTTGGCCTCGGCTCTTCCGGCTCTTCTCGTCACCATTCTGGTCTTCATGGACCAGCAGATCACGGCTGTGATCGTCAACAGGAAGGAGCACAAGCTCAAGGTACGATCTGAAGCTTCTGAGAACGTAGCTGCAGCTCACGGTGGCTCACGAGTACGACTCGGTTCACAAGTGGCTCGTTTTAACAGAGGGGGGTGTGCACCACGAGGGAGGGGTGACTCGTAATGCAGATGTGTCGTAATTTACGAGTGGGACGACGTCATGTTTTAGAAACTTCTGCTGAGAACTGATGCATTTTTTTGTACAAACCGGATTCCAAAAAAGTTGGGACACTAAACAAATTGTGAATAAAAACTGAATGCAATGATGTGGAGATGGCAAATGTCAATATTTTATTCGTAATATAACATAGATGACAGATCAAAAGTTTAATCTGAGTAAATGTAACATTTTAAAGGAGAAATTTGTTGATTCAGAATTTCACAGTGTCAACAAATCCCAAAAAAGTTGGGACAAGTAGCAATAAGTGGCTGGAAAAAGGAAATTGAGCATATAACGAACAGCTGGAAGACCAATTAACACTAATTAGGTCAATTGACAACATGATTGGGTATAAAAAGAGCTTCTCAGAGTCTCTCAGAAGCCAAGATGGTAAGAGGATCACCAATTCCACCATTGTTGTGCAGAAAGATAGTGCAGCAATACCAGAATGGTGTTACCCAGCGTAAAATAGCAAAGACTTTTAAGTTATCATCATCAACTGTGCATAACATCATCAAAAGTTTCAGAAAATCTCGAACAATCGTTGTGCGTAAGGGTCAAGGCCGTAAAACTGTACTGGATGCTCGTGATCTCCGGGCCCTTAAACGTCACTGCACCTCAAACAGGAATGCCACTGTCAAGGAAATAACAGAATGGGCTCAGGAATACTTCCAGAAAGCATTGTCAGTGAACACAATCCACCGTGCCATCTGCCATTGCCAGCTGAAACTCTACAGTGCAAAGAGGAAGCCATTTCTAAGCAAGCTCCATAAGCTCAGACGTTTGCACTGGGCCAGGGGTCATTTAAAATGGAGTGTGGCAAAATGGAAGACCGTTCTGTGGTCAGATGAGTCACGATTTGAAGTTCTTTATGGAACACTGGGACGCCATGTCATCCGGACCAGAGAGGACAAGGATAGCCCAAGTTGTTATCAACGCTCTGTTCAGAAGCCTGCATCACTGATGGTATGGGGTTGCATGAGCGCTTGTGGCATGGGCAGCTTGCATGTCTGGAAAGGCACCATTAATGCAGAGAACTATGTTCAGGTTCTAGAACAACATATGCTCCCATCTAGACGTCATCTCTTTCAGGGAAGACCCTGCATTTTTCAACACGATAATGCCAGACCACATTCTGCAGCAATCACAACATCATGGCTACGTAGGAGAAGGATCCGGGTACTGAAATGGCCAGCCTGCAGTCCAGATCTTTCACCTATAGAGAACATTTGGCGCATCATAAAGAGGAAGGTGTGACAAAGAAGGCCCAAGACGATTGAACAGTTAGAGGCCTGTATTAGACATGAATGGGAGAGCATTCCTATTTCTAAACTTGAGAAACTGGTCTCCTCTGTCCCCAGACGTCTGTTGAGTGTTGGAAGAAGAAGGGGGGATGCCACACAGTGGTAAAAATGGACTTGTCCCAACTTTTTTGGGATTTGTTGACGCCATGAAATTTGGAAACTACAGATTTTTCCCTTAAAATGAAACATTCTCTCAGTTTAAACTTTTGATCTGTGATTTGTGTTCTATTCTGAATAAAACATTAGATGTTGGCACCTCCACATCATTGCATTCACTTTTTATTCACAATTTGTTTAGTGTCCCAACTTTTTTGGAATCCGGTTTGTAAATAAACAAAATAAAAAAAAAACTTTCCTCTGCTGCTGTTAATCTGAGCCTGCTCCTGACCTTTGACCCCATTTGCTGTCTGGACACAGAAAGGAGCAGGTTACCATCTGGATCTGTTCTGGGTGGCGGTTCTGCTGGTGGTTTGCTCCTTCATGGGTCTGCCGTGGTACGTGGCAGCCACCGTGATCTCCATCGCTCACATCGACAGTCTGAAGATGGAAACGGAAACGTCGGCTCCAGGAGAGCAGCCCAAGTTCCTCGGCGTGAGGTCAGACCGTCTTTATGTCTGCAGGACTCGTTGGAATAACGTCCACTTTTCTTATTAAAACTTATAGACATTATTTCCCAATATGAAAAACCTCTCTCTAGTTAAGCTGCATAGCAAAGAATAAAATATTATATATATATATATGACCCTTTATGTGTACAGGTGGTCTTGTTAAATTATGAGAACTCATGTTCAAGAGAGAACTGTTTTTTTGGGGAGCAAATGGGGTGGTGGGGTGTTAAGGGCCTTGCTCAGGGGCCTAGAGTGGGGCAAATTAGGGTGGAGGCAGGTGTGGGTGTTTCAACTTTTTCACCCACATTTTGATGTTGACGGTACCGGGAGTTGAACCTGCAACTTTCCGATCACAGGCCCATCTTCTCTAACCTCTGTGCCACCACCCCCCAATCCCTCTATCATGGATGTGAACATCTTCATCCCTGAACGAGTGACCTCTGACCTGCAGGAGTGTAGGCCACAGAGTCCTGGCCTGATGATGTTGATCTTCTGTGCTGGTCCATCCTTTTGGCCGGTGGCTGTTTAGTTTCCTCAGTGTAAGACTGATCACCCTTCTGACACTGAACAACATACACAGTATTACTCTGTTGGTGCCGGGGACTGGATCTTTGGGATGAACCAGTCTTTAATATATTTTGGGGTTTAAAAGCCACTGGGACGTTATGTTTAGAAAATAAACGTCTCGGTGTCATGATGCTGCTGTTCGGTAGTTGAACCCACACGCAGGAATGCAGGAGGACTCCGTAGTAAAAACACAAATGATTTATTGAACAAAACAAAATGCTGACAGGGCAGCAAAACTGACTTTAAAGGTGACGCGACAGGATGGCGCAGATGCAGACCGTGACACCATGAAAGAATAATCCCTGGATACCAAAGGAGTGAAAAGACAGAGACTTTATACAGATACTAATGAGACGAGTGAGGAGCACCTGGGGGGATTAGAATGGAGATCAGCTGTGCACAGGAGGATGATGAGGGAAACACAGAGGTGCAGGAAAACTACAGAGAAACAGACAGACATAGTGTCACTCAATCTGAAACTCCCGCAACATATGAATGACCACTGGTCACCTGATGGCTGGCTGGAGTCCTGTTTGGGTTTCTTCTCTGCTGTCAACTTGATTTATGGGGGACCACAGAGCAGACAGCGTCCCCTCTAACTCAGGAGCCAGGCAGAAGGAGGAATCCTACACAAGACAGGAGAAGAAACCCAAACAGGACTCCAGTCAGCCATCAGGTGAAAAGGAGGAACCCAGACCCAGACCAGTGGTCATTCCATATGTTGAGGGAGTATCAGAGAAACTGAGACGTTTATTTTCTAAACATAACGTCCCAGTGGCTTTTAAACCCCAAAATACATTACGGCAAAGACTGGTTCATCCCAAAGATCCAGTCCCCCGGCACAAACAGAGTAATATTGTGTATGTTGTTCAGTGTCAGGAGGGTGATCAGTTTTACATCAGGGAAACTAAACAGCCACTAGCCAAAAGGATGGCCCAGCACAGAAGATCAACACCATCAGGCCAGGACTCTGCGGTCTACACTCATCTCCAGGCCAGCGGTCACTCTTTCAGGGATGAAGATGTTCACATCCTGGACAGAGAAGAACGATGGTTTGAGAGAGGAGTGAAGGAGGCCATCTTTGTGAAGAGAACCCGTCCATCATTTAACAGGGGCGGAGCTTCTGTTCTGTTCACATCTTTTACATGTGAACAGCTGATTCTGACTGTCAGCAGCAAACTGGTTGATCCACGGTGCTGTTTATAAGACTGAGTTTATTACAAGATCTCAGACTGAAGAAGTCTTTTGGGTCCTGATGCATGCTCAGTAATCCAGGTAGAAAAATCTAAAAAAAAAGTTAAGTCAGGTTCCTGTAGACTTTCATCTAAGACAAAATGTTTCAAAAAACAAGAATCCGCCCAGAGGACCAGACTTCACCTGGTTAGATTTTTCTACCTGGATTATTGAGCAGCATCAGAGGGATTTTTATTCTTGTGCTGCAGCGCCACCTTCAGGTGACTCGCAGGGTTCTCACAGGTTACAGCTGAGAAATATTGGTATTTTTCTAAACATTTCCTCTCTGAGGTCAGCTGAAGGTCAAAGTGAAAGAATGCAGAAATGATCGAGTCAGTTTGTTTTTATGACTCCTGGTTTGACTCTGAAGTCGTTCTCTGGAGAAGAACTGACGCTGAACTGCCGCTTGGTTTTGTGACTTGAGTCAACCTTGGAAATAAAATGTTTATGGAGCAGAACATTGTTGGGTGAAAACATCTGTGGTGGTCAACCCATCTGGACAGAGACGAGCAGAAGTCTTAAAAAAAAACATTTTCATCAAATAAACAAGAAGTCAGTCAGAGGTCAGAGGTCAGAGCCTGGACTTTTTCTAGAATCAGAACATTCAAACGTTTAATCTTAACAAAAGTGGAATATTGTTACTAACTCGGTCTTTATTGTTAGATTTGCCTGCTTCGACCAGTCGTGTGCGTTATTGTCTGTCCACAGCTTTTGTTGTTGTTGTCGTTCTGAAAACTTTTTGTTTTCATCTCCGGGGGACGTCCTGAGCTGTTGTTTCAGCTGTAAGCTGAGCTAACGGATAAAACCTTCTTACAAGCATCAATACTGTTCAGAATTCAAAAAGAGAAGTCCGTCAGACTTAACGCTCAAACTATGAGCGCACATGAAGCTGAGTCCAAACGCTGAGACTGAAATGTCTCATTTCAACCTTCTGGACTTGGTGTGTGTGTTTCAGAGAGCAGAGGGTCACAGGTGTGGTCGTCTTCATCCTGACAGGACTCTCCGTCTTCATGTCTCCAATTTTAAAGGTAATCCGAGAAACGTTCAGTTCATCAGATGGAAAACCATCATCCGTTCTGTGATTAGAACCAAATGTTCAGCAGCTGAAGCAGCAGATTCTATAACGACACAAACGTTTGAGAAGACAACCCTTACATTTTATTATTTTACAGAAACTTCAAGTGTTCCAGTCACAATCTGTCAGCTGAAACAGAACCTGAACCTTCCACAACTTGTCTCATAGAACAACGGCAATAATAACTTTAATGAAGTAATTTATGTTCCAGTCCTGGAAATTAACAGATAAATTCATGAACAGTAATTGTTCTTTTAGCTTGTTCTCTCCGTGCACGCTGGGTTTTTACTTGAGGATGCCAGTTTCTTCCCAGAACCAAAAACCTTCAGGCTAGGTTCATCAGTAACTCTAAACTGTTCTTAGGTGTGAAAGTGAGAGTAGTTGTTTGTCTCTGTGTCCCTGTGATGGACTGGACACCTGTCCAGGTGTCCCCCACCTCTCACACAGAGACTGCTGGAAACGAACACCAGTTCCCTGTGACCCAGAAAGGAAAGGAAAAAGTGGATAAAAAGATGGATGGCTGGATGGATGGATGGACAATGGATGATGGCTGGATGGTTGGATGATGGATGATATATGGATGGATGATGGATCACCATCCATCCATCCATCTATCCATCCACTGATGTTTGGATGATGGATATTTGGAAGATGGTTGGGTGATGGATGGATGGATGATGGGATGGATGGATGGATGATGGACAGATGGATGATGGATGGATGGATGGTGGATGGATGGATGATGGATAGTTGGATGGATGATGGCTGAATGATAGATGATGGATGGCTTGTTGGATGATTGATGATGGATAGTTGGATGGATGGTCGGATGATGGATGGTTGGGTGATGGATAGTTGGATGGGTGAAGGATGGTTGGATGATGGATGATCGGATGATGGATGGTTGGATGATTGATGGTTAGGTGATGGATAATTGGATGGGTGAAGGATGGTTGGATGATGAATGGTTGGATGCAGACATGAGGAATTTTGAAGATTAAACTAAAAATAAACTTTTCAGAGCAAAACTTCATCTTCAGTGATAAAGTCTAGATGTCTTCTACTGAACCACACTTTGTTCTGGACAGGATCAAAGAGAATCGACATAAACGTAACTTGTAACGTAACTTGTAACGTAACTTTTAACGTAACTTGTAACGTAACTTTTAACGTAACTTTTCGTATTTGGTCCATTTTTCTCTCCAGGACATCAAAATCAAAATAACATTATTTATCCCATTTAACAACATTTTTTGAGATGTGGTTGTAAAAATCAGGGATTTCTTTTGATCAGGTTGTAGTTTTAGATTTCCATTTCTTCTATTAAAGCTCCAAACTGAAGAGAAGATAAATCAATAATTGATATTTGTCTTTTTCTGTCTGTTGCTCCCAGTTTATCCCCATGCCGGTGCTGTATGGAGTCTTCTTATACATGGGAGTCGCCTCTCTTAATGGGGTGCAGGTAATCTGGACACGTCATTTCTACAGATCTGACTAAATGTGCTTCTGTTTCTAAATGTTTGCTCTTCAGGGTTTTATTCAGATAGAGTGGACAGATGGAGTGTTCTCGTAACCACAAATCCAGAGGTTTTAGAGTCCAGAAGTTTTAGAGTCCGGAGTTTTTAGAGTCCGGAGTTTTTAGAGTCCGGAGTTTTTAGAGTCCAGAGTTTTTAGAGTCCGGAGTTTTTAGAGTCCGGAGTTTTTAGAGTCCAGAGTTTTTAGAGTTTGGAGTTTTTAGAGTCCGGAGTTTTTAGTGTCTGGAGTTTTTAGAGTCCAGAGTTTTTAGAGTCCAGAGTTTTTAGAGTCCGGAGTTTTTAGAGTTTGGAGTTTTTAGAGTCCAGAGGTTTTAGAGTCCGGAGTTTTTAGAGTCTGGAGATTTTAGAGTCCAGCGTTTTTGGAACACCATGCTCGAACATAAGGGTGTCCACTTGGCACCAGGACACCGTAGGTTGCAGCTCGATGATTGACTTTGCAGTCGTGTCTTCTGATCTGCGGCCGTTTGTTTTGGACTCTCGGGTGAAGAGAGGAGCTGAGCTGTCAGCTGATCACCACCTGGTAGTGAGTTGGATCAGATGGCGGGGGTAAGATGCTGGACAGACCTGCTAGACCCAAATGTGTAGTGAGGCTTTGCTGGGAACACCTGGCAGAAGAACCTGTCAGAGATTTTCAACTTCCACCTCTGGGAGAGCTTTAACTTCATCCCAGCTGAGGAGGGGAACATCGAGTCCGAGTGGACCATGTTCTGTGCCTCACTTGTTGACGTAGCTGCCTTGAGCTGTGGCCGCAAGGTTGTCGGTGCTTCTCGCAGTGGCCGTCCTCGAACTCTGTGGTGGACCAACCAGGGTTAGGGGGCTGTCAAGCTGAAGAAGGAGTCCTATCGGTCCTTGTTGGCTGGTGGGCCTTCGGAGGCAGCTGAGGACTCCTGGAGGGCCAAGCAGTCTGAAGCCTTGGCTGTTGCTGAGGCAAAAGCTCAGATGTGGGAGGAGTTTGGTGAGGCCCTGGATAACAATTCTCTGTCAACTCTGAGGAGATTATGGAAAACCATCAGCTGAGGAGGGGAAAGCAGCTCTTTACAACACTGTGTTCAGTCAAGGTGGGGTGCTGTTGACCTCAACCAGTGATGTCATCGGGAGGTGGAAGGAAGACGTCTTGGACTACTTCAGAGTTTTTAGGGTCAGGAGTTTTCGACCTGCAGATCTGGATGTTCATGTCAAATGATCTTTAAGTTCTTTTTCAAAACGGAAGCAGAAACGTTACAACGTTTGAGAAAAATGTTGTTTATTCTCATTTCATGCGACCAGCTGCTGTTTGCTGTTAGTTTGAGACTTACTTTGTGCTCTGCTCATTCTCTGTCTGTAGTTTATGGATCGTCTGAAGCTGCTTCTGATGCCAGCGAAGCACCAACCCGACCTGGTTTACTTGCGGCACGTTCCCCTCAGGAAGGTCCACCTCTTTACCTTCATCCAGATCCTGTGCCTGGCCCTGCTCTGGATCCTCAAGTCCACCGTGGCTGCCATCATTTTCCCCGTCATGGTGAAAGACGTTTGATTTTAATTTACATTTAGCAATAAAACAAACAACAACAATAATTATATCAGTTCTGTGGAAATGATGCAGGTTTTATGATTATTCAAAGAACTTGTTTCTACCTGAGCAGATGTTGGACGTGTCTCTGTGCGTTTTATTTATTGTTCAGATCCTTGCTCTGGTTGCTGTGAGGAAAGCCATGGACTACATGTTCTCCCAACACGACCTCGGCTTCCTGGATGATGTCATTCCAGAGAAGGACAAAAAGAAGAAGGAGGACGAGAAGAAGAAGAAGAAATGCGACAACATTGACAGCGATGCTGAAGACGTAAGGTTTTAAACTTTAGGCGCGTTTTGAGAACACGAATTGATGCAAACTTTACTTTTATATTCTAGTGGTTTTATAACAGCCTGTTTTTATTTTAGCTGCTCAGAAATCTCAGTTTCTTTCCTCTAAAGCAGAATAAAACTAACTTTACTCTGCACGTCATGTCCAAAACAACCACAGCTTTATGTGGAAAATATTCAGATTTATTAAAAACCTTTACAGATATATATATATATATATATACACATGTATATATATATTTTTTTTATTGTTTTGTTTTGTTAGTTGTTCCTCCATAGAAGCTCAGTTCAGTTCATTTCTGTAGCTCCAGATCATCAGAAGTCATCTCAGGGTGCTGTATAGAAACATTCAGACATTAAAAAAGACAATTAATAAAAGTTCTGTATCTGAGGAAGCAGCAGACTGTGTTGAATCTTCGTCACGGTCTTCCATCCTGAGCGAGCACAAAGGAGACAGTGGAAAGGAAAAACTCCCTTTAACAGGAAGAAACCTCCAGCAGAACCAGGCTCAGGACGAGCGGCCATCTGCTTGGACCAGCTGAGGTTTGAGAGGACAGGAAGTGGAAACAGACACAGAATGACAGGTCCAGGTGAACTTTCTATAGGAGGAAAGACAAAAACACACGTTAAGATAGAAATAAATACAAATACAAAACAGGCAGAGTAGAGCAAGTAAAGACAGCAGCAAGGGGTGAAGGGGTCAGACTTGGAGCGATTAAAAGACCAATGATGGAGGATGACCACATGGAAGACACAACGTTTCCTGGAAAAAGAAAACGGGGGCTTTCCCTGGAGCCAGGTCTTGGGAGCAGCTCACCATTAAGCCCCTGGTGGTCGAGCCTTGGCTCTTTATGCTGTGCTGAAACAAGTTAAAAAATAAATTATAAAAGCTACAGAAAGGCAGATTTCCATGGCTCAGGGGTGGCGGTCATGGTAAGGTGCCATGTAGGCCGGGCGGCAGCGAGGGTGGGGCTCTGCGTGCCGTTTCCCAGCATCACCAACTGACTCCAGGTTAATGGAACGCCGCCTCATTGGTGGGAAAGAAGCCAGAGTTTGTTGGGGAGGTTGAGATCTAGTTGGACTCAGACGTTAAACTTTCTCCTCTGAAGCTGCCCAGGAGGTGAAGCCTTCAGATGGTGGTACTCGCAGGCCCTGTCGCGCTGAAGAAGGGAGCCTCGAGTCTGTCCCTGGGGACTCCTGGAACAGCTGACAGGTACAGGATGGCCAGAAAGACTGTGGCATTTATGGTTGCAAAATATATATATCAGGCATGGGGGGGATTTCATTAAGGTCCTGAAGAAGAACTCTTGTTTAGTCTCTCACAAACCTTTCAGCTACTCAGAAAGGGAACGCCGCCCTGATACAGGTTGGGCTTGGTTTGGGTGAGGAACCATTGACTGAATTTTGTCGGACAGTGAAAGGAGAATTTTAAAGTTTTATTTTTCCCACCATCATGTCCACTTTTGAGGAGTCAGAAGAAGGCGAGTCCTCCTCCTTGGCAGAGGTCACAGGAGGTAGCAGGGCACCCAGGGTGGACAGATGTCACCCTGAGATGCTGTGGGGCCGTCACGGTTGACGAGTCTCTTCAACGTAACATGGAGGATGGATAAAACAGCTGCGGAGCGGCAGACTGGGATTTTGGTTCCCATTTTTGTTAGAAAGGGACTGGGAGTGTGTTCCAACTGTTGAGGAGTCACACTTCTCAGCCTCCCCAGGAAAGTTCACACCAGGGTGATGACTGGGAGGCTCTGACCAGTTGTCAAACCATGGATTTGGGTTTTTGACCTGGTTGTGGAACAGTGTGGATCTTTACCGAGGACGTCTTGTGAGTTTAAATCTCCAGTCTACATGGGTTTGTGGATCTAGAGGTTTATGACAGGATCCCAAGACACAGTCATGGACTGGAGGGGGTCTGGTCTGAGAACCACAGACTGCTTTATGCAGATGAAGCTGGTGGCATCTTCAGACCATGACCTGTTGTCTACACTAGGACGGTTCACAGCTGGTGAGAGTCAGCTTCTCTCAGTCTGAACTGGTTTTCAACCAGAAAGGGAGGTTTCTGCATCTAGTGGAGGAGTTCTTGTATCACCCTGGAGGAGACTCCTGAGCAGACCTAAACCGATGGTCCACAGAGCTGGTTCACCTCCTGGACCTGCTGCCCACACGACCCCACCATGAACCTTGGTTATTATTTCCTAAAAGTTTTATTGATAATGAATTAAAGATCAAACGCATAAAAATATCAAACTTGTTTGATTTTAAAAAACGAGCTCAGATGTTTGTCGGACTGGTTGCAGCGTTGTTGATAACCCCCGTTTGCCCAGAGGTCCGTTCTCAGGATGTGTTTCCTCTCTCCAACAGTCCGACTATCCTTACAATGAGAAGGTTCCTAATATTAAAATTCCCATGGACATTATGGAGCAGGAGCCGTTCTTAGGCGACAAAGCCTCCGACAGTGAGTAAACCCTGGAGGGAGGGAGAACTCTTCGTCCTCTGAACTTCATCCATGTTTCTGATGATGTCCTGTCGTTGAGGAGCTGCTTGGTTCTCGTCTTTAACTCGCTGCTTTGACGCTCTGCTTGGGATTAACACGTCTTTAAAACCGTCTTCCTCTTTCTGACCCTCATTAAAACGCATGTTTCTGCTCTGTGTCCTCATCGTTTCATTCTGAGTGTTTCCTTCAGAATATCTGAATGCATGCTTGACTACATGCTTCGTGTTTATAGCTGAGAACACTTCTTAAGTTTGTATTTTATAGTATTGTGCAAAAGTCTTAAGCCATCCCTATTTTTTACATTTTCCTTCTCAGCAGTCAGACTCTGTCGTCTTTAAATAGGTTTTAATCCAGAGGTTTATTTTAAGTCCTTTGGTTTTTAGGATGAAAGTCAGAACAGGATCTTTTTTCACCGGATCGGTTTTCTCTCTTCCACAGGAGAGAAGTCCAAGTCATTCCTGGATCGACACACATCGTGCTGAGCAACTTCACTACTATCAGGACAGCAACGTGTCCAGGTGAGAGCGAGCACCTGACACCTGGCAGGCGATTAGAAATGCAGCTAAACAAAAAGCAGCTGCTGGTTCTATTCCCGGGGTTGGAAAAAGGTCACATGACCAGCTAACACAGCTAGAGCTACTCTGATCTTTAAACATCAGACTGGGTTGGACATCAAGCTAACTGGGTTTCAGCTGGAAGCAGAGCAACAGAGTCTGTGGTTCAGTCTGGTGGCGCAGTTGGTAGAGCTGTTGCCTCTCAAGTGAGAAGGTTGCTGGATTGAATCCCAAGTGAGGGCCATTCTGGGTGGAGTTTGCATGTTCTCTCTGTGCTGCGTTGGTTTTCTCCAGATACTCCAGTCTCCTCCCACAGACCAAAAACATGCAGACTGACTGGTAATTCTAAATTGTCCCTAGGTGAGAGAGAGTGAATGTTGTTTGTCTCGTTTGTCTCTATGTGTCCCTGTGATGGACTGGAGACCTGTCCAGGGTGTCCCCCGCCTCTCCTGCAGTGATGGCTGGATATGGACACCAGTGACCTTGAGACCCACAAAGGAAGAAAGGAGTTAAGAGCTGTCATAAATGTGGACATGCCCGCCCCCTGGTGGTGCAGCCTGAGTATTACACAACGTTTGGTAAATTATGGGATGAGTTTAAAATAATCCTGTCAGAATAAAACTGAAGCTGAGTTGATGACACCGGGTCGTATTTCTCTGGTAAATGAAAAGAGTCTGATCATGAAGAAAAGGTTCAGGGCGTTTCATCGTGGACTGAAGGGACGGTTCCGACACCTGGAAGGTGCAGACTTCTTGTGTTGAAACGTTTCACCGTTCAGGAAACGCTCACGCTCGGACCGGTTGTGTTTGCATGGAAGGCCGAGCTCGTCGTTCACCGGATAAAACCTGTAAACATTCCAACAAATCCAAGAACTGAGTGTTGTTCGTGTCTCAGACGAGTCTCTGACTCCACATGTGTGTGTTTCAGCCCCGAGTCGACTCCGCTGAAGTCTGTGCCTCAGATCCGGATCGAAATGGACCCGAGTGATGAGAACGGGTTTTACCGGAGGAGGCGAGGATCTGAAACATCTCTGTAGTGGACCCAGCGGCGTCCTGGACCCTGTCACTGACTTTAGTCTAACTTTCACTTCTTTAAATGATTTAGGACTCCGCTCGGCCTCGGTGGGACTCGAGGTGAAGAAAGGGAACAAAAAGATTTTTTATTACAAAGTTCTGAATTCTGCATCGCATCACGGCTGCACCTTACTGCTCATCTATGCAACAACGTGAAGTGCTGCAGAGACCCCTTTTCTACTCCGATATCGTCTTTCTTCTTTTTATATCCACCCAGTTTCTCTAACCCTGTAGCAGGAAACCATGTTTTGGTAGTTCTACCTCTGGTTTAGATTCACTGCACTAATGAACAAACGCAACACGAAGATTCTTCACCAACTCTGGAGGTTTTATTTTTGTCTTTTTGTAGGGTTAAAGTAATTTAAGGATTTGTTGTAATATAGCTTGTAAAGAGAATGAAATAGAACTTTAAGAGGATTAACGGTAATTTATGGGTGGACAGTTTTGCCGCCACTTTTTGATGCACTTTGATTGTTTCTCCTTCGTTCTGATGTAATCGTTCACGTCTAAACCTCGAAACTAACGAGACGTTTCAATTAAACTCGTTGTTTTGTAATAATCATCTTGTGTACGTGTTGGTCTCTTCTTCTTGTTCGAGACAGAAAACAAGTTCACATGAACTCTAAAGCTGACCTGGACCCTGACCTTTGACCCCTGACCCTTTAACAGAACCAAATCCCGTGGAGGTCTGAAGCTCCTCCCACAGCAGTAACGTTTTAATTGATGTAAAATGTAAATATTGAGGTTTAATCAGAAAAAGTGGTTTTTATTAAAGTTCATGCAACAAAGAACTTTTGTTCTGTTTGTGGCTAAGTTGAAGAAATAAAATGATAAGAAACAGATTATTTGTCCAAGTCTGACGTCTGCAGAAGGATTATGTCTGAAACAGGATCTTCTAAGTTTTGGTGCATTTTTTGGACAGGAGACGTTATTTCAGTCACACTGAGCAAATATTGTTTTCAAGTTATTTCAATAAACATTAGACATTTGAGTATTACATTAAATCCAAAAGCATCTTTTAAAAACAAACGCTGATTCTTATCATTGGGGACTGCGGCAGAAACCTGTTATTATCCACCTGACAAGGGTTTCTTAACTTTATATCTTACTCTTCCGTCAACTTTAATGCTGCCCGAACCGCAACATGTACCCCCACAAATGTTATGTCAAAACGACCGGCTCGGCACCGCGATGTGTGCAATTACTTTTATTGACATTTCCTGTTACCATGGCGACAATTTACAAACAAAGACGCCATTTTTAGTCATTTTTCATAGACTGATTGCAAATCAAATATTCAAGATGGCCACCTGAGTTAAAAAGGGAAAATACTGTCAGCCATTTTTAGAGACATTAAGCCGAAATTTGGTGTAGCTGAGCGCAATGCCCAATAAATAATGAATTTTAAAAAATTCAAGATGGCCACCAAAGCTAAATTTCAACAGCTTTGACGCAGCTATTTTTACACACAGAGATGAAATTTGATGTGGTTATAGCTGAGAGCGTTCTTAACTTAAAAAAAAAACGAACTTATTGATAATTTTGCTATTTTAAACTGAAATGTGTTGTGGTGGAAGCTGAGAGCAAACCCAAACAAGTGTCAAATCAAAATTTAAAAATGGCCGCCACGTGGCCTTCTGGCTCTTCATTAGAGTTTAATAACTGGAGTTGTTCTCAGTGAGAGGGAAACGATGTTCAGGAGTCGCTCCAGGCCTGCAGAATGAAAACGGACTTCTTTCATTAACTTCTGTTTCTGTGAGAAATTGATTATTTTAGATTTTAAATCAAATGTTGAAATAAAGAGTTATGAAACCTCGTGAGGTTCATTCATTCATTCATTCATTCATTCATTCATTCGTTCGTTCGTTCATGACGGACAGCTGCAGCCTAGAACAGGTCTCTGTCTTTCAATGGAGAACCTGTGTGGTTCTGCAGATATGAAGTGGACTCTGACGTCACTCCAATCCCGCACAGCAGCAAGAAAATCAAAGGTCCAGATTATTTCAGATTACATGACTCAACATGTCGGAACACGAGCCGAACCGAGACAGACACGACCAGAACCAGAAACCACTTAACGTTGATGTAGTGACGCCCTCTAGTGTCAATAAAGAGGAGCTGCAGTACCCAACATTAGAAGAATCCATCATACATCTATCCATCCATCCATCCATCCATCCACCCATCATACATGTATTCATCCATCCATTATCG